TATATTTTTTTTTTTTATTATTATTATTTTTTTTATGAATATTTATAATATGTTTTATTATAAGTAATTTATATATTTTTTATTTATAAGTAATATAAATATTACTTTTTTTCTCACAATTCCAATTATTTTTTCTCACAATTGCAAGTTTATTTCTCTCAATTCAGACATTTCAGAATTATTAGTTTATATATCACAATTGTGAGTTAACATTTCAGGATTGCAAGAAATTGTTTTTATATTTTTATTCCGTGGTGGCCATGAGCTTCCATAGTTTTCTTCTAGTTTTGCCTCTGAAGTAACACTAGTTTTGATGTGAACCCTTTAAACACAGGGATGCATCATGTGTAATTGGTGCTCTCCCTTACTGCAGTCAGTCACACAGAGAGATGTGTCAAAGGGAACTTACCTCCGTAATTAGAACTGGTACAATGTGCTGCGGGGACGCAGACGATGGCCTTCAGAGGGTCTGCGTGTCATTACGTGGGTGGTAAGGCGTTTTTAAAGAGATGTGATGAGGGCTAATGATGGTGCTTCCTGTTTAAGAGGGTGCCAGAAGCTCTTGTAAGCGCCAGCCTCTCGCAGTTCTAAGTCCCACTGGGGGGGATCCGGGCACTGGGGCATGGTATGTCAAATTAAGCACAACTTTTAGCCAAGGTCCTGACTCGGATGGGAGTTCATTAATTCGATATGCTGCTGCTTGTCAGACCACTTTAAGTGATGGATCACTAAGGTGTTTGGAAAGACCACCAACCGGTTCCCAACTTTTCGCCCTTCATCACGTATTAATGTGAAGGCAACAGCTTTTCACAACTCGTTAAGAGAGCATCCCGGCAACTTTTTTTGTCTCATATTTGACAACTGCAGTGTTTTGTTAGTCATGTTTATGCAGCAGGGGAGTCTGTTCCATTAGTTAGCCTGATTCAAACCAATAGTTGCTAACATATCAATATTGTGAAGCACACAGCAGAAGCAAAAAAAATACAAAACACACACTCACACTCACACATATGTGACCCTGGAGCACAAAACCAGTCTTAAGTCGCCGGGGTATATTTGTAGCAATAGCCAAAAAAAACATTGTATGGGTCAAAATTATCAAAGTAAGTCAATAAGATTTTTTAAAGAAATACTTACTTTAATACTGATTCAGGATTTAAATACTTTAAATCAGCAAAAATGTGTTAAATTGATCAAAAGTGCCAGTAAAGACTTTTACATTTAAAAAATAAAATAAAATTTTTTTTTATAAATGTTGTTCTTTTGAACTTTTTATTTATCAAAGAATCCCAAATAAATTAATTAAATATTTATAAATATTTATATTTATAAATTATCACTGTTTCTGCAAAAAATATTAAGCAGCACCAGTTTTCAATTTTGAGCATAATAAATGTTTCTTGAGCAGCAAATCATCATATTATACTGATTTCTGAAGGATCGTGTGACACTGAAGACTCGAGTAATGATGCTAAAAAATTCAGCTTTGCATCACAGAAATAAATTTAATTTTAAAATATATTGAAATAGAAATCACATTTCAAATTGTACAAATATTTTACAATATTGCTTTTTATTTTACTGTATTTGGGTCAAATAAATGCAGCCTTGGTGAGCATTAGAGACTTTCAAAACCATTAAAAAACACACTAACCTCAAAGATTTGAATGGTAGTGTATGTTGCTTGCAAAACATTTAATTTTGTCATACAAAACACTGCTAATTTTAAACGACTGTCAAATAAATCTTTTTGTGTCAGATTGTGTAGTTACAGCATCAACCAGCAGGGTCTAACAAAGCAACGCTAACCATAACCCAAACAAATCAAACAAATAATAGCAATACAGAGCTACACTTTAGGCAAGTCAGGCAATAGATGACTTAAGTTCTCTGTGCTTATGAAGTTAGTAAGACAGGAGAACAGGACAAGACAGGAGAGTGTTGAATGCCACATGCTCTAAAAAGTGACACTTTTCTCTTGTGGTTCTTCCCCAGATCTAATAAACCCGGCAGCAGCCCTAAAGGTCAGACCCCAGACGAGAGCAGCCGCCGAACAGACGCTAACTCCTCCGTCTCAGACCTGGCCAACTCCGTCACCAGTGATATGCTGATGGTAACGTGAACGTGTGGCGATATATAAACTTATAAGTCATGAGTTTGTGAGTGCTTTTGATTCATTAAAAGAACCTGTTCATAAGCTGTTCATGAATCAGATTCAGTGTTATTTTTAATATTATTTATATGCAAGTATTTTTTAATATTTTAAATTAGCTTTTTTATATATATTTTCAGTTTAAGTTATCAAAGTTTTAGTGGTTTTATGTGCTTTTGTTTCATTGGTTTTTGTAATGTTTCTATTTAGCTTTTTATTTCAGTTTTAGATTTTATAATTATTTTTTAATAACTTTTGACATAGTTTTTGACCTTTTTGTCTCATAATTTACAACTAAATAATATTTTTTAACATCTTGGTATTTAAACTAGCTTGTTGGTCTGTGAGCGCTTTTGACTGATTCATTAAAAGAACTGGTTCATGAATCAGATTCAGTGTTATTTTAGTATTATTTACTACTTGTATTTATTAATATTTTGAATTAGCTTTCTTTTTTTTTACTTTAGTAATTTCAACTTAAACCTAATTTATTTCACTTAGTTGCCAAGGCAACTTTTTTATTTAATATTTTATAAAAAGTGAATATTTGAATATTTCGTCACACTTATGTTTGGGGACCATTCTCACTATTACCTATTTACTAACTATTAACTATGACTTTTGCCTCAATAAACTCCTAATTTGCTGTTTATCAATAGTTAGTAAGGTAGTTGTTAAGTTTAGGTATGGCGTAGGATTAAGAGATGTAAAATATGGTCATGCAAAATAAGGCATTAATACAAGTATGTGCTTTATAAGTACTATTAAACAGCCAATATTCTAGTTATAGGCATGCTAATAAGCAACAAGTTAATAGTGAGAATTTGTCCTTAAAATAAAATGTTACAGAATATTTTTATTTTATTTCAGCATTATTTCAATGAATGGAAACTATTTTTTTAATAGTTTTAGTTTTAGTTAACAATAACAACACTTGTTTGTTTGTTTTTTTTCCGCACAGCCAGCGAAGATGCAATAGAAAGATGTGGTGTTCATTTTTTTACTGTATTATTTTATCTTATATCTCATCACATTTAATTCAGATAGGATAAAAAATAATTTATTTAGCCACACTGCTATATATTATGTTATGCTGCAGGAAACACTGTAATGTGGTTTTGTTAATAATGATTTAATGTGAAACGATTAAGCTGTTTAATGACAATCTTGTCCACTTTGGTTTGTAAGTTGTCCCCAGGCTCTGAGGAAGAGGAACATGAAGGACCCGTGTGCGAGAAGCTGGGACGCATCCAGTTCAGCGTGGGATACAGTTTTCAGGACTCCACACTGACAGTGAAAATCCTGAAGGGTCAGGATCTACCTGCGAAAGATTTCTCCGGCACTTCAGATCCATTCGTCAAACTCTACCTTCTGCCAGACAAGAAGCACAAACTTGAGACCAAGGTCAAAAGAAAGAACCTCAACCCTCACTGGAACGAGACATTCCTGTTTGAAGGTCAGTATGTTTTGATATCTCAACTACATTATTATGGGTTTAGAGTTCCTAGTTTTGTGTAGTTTAAAGGTAGTATCCCTCATGTAACCAGACTTCTGACTTGGCATAAAAGCTAAATACACATGGCCAAGTCTGTGTGTGTGTATATATATATATAAAGTATATATATATATATATATATGACATTTTCAATTATGATTTAACTCACTTTCATACACTACTGTTCAAATGTTTGGATGTTTTTTAAAGAAGTCTCTTATAAAGGCTGCATTTATTTGATCAAAATACAGTAAAACAGTAATTGTTATGAGACGAGAGACATGCGGATCCATATGCAAGCTTTTATTAAGAGACGTGGTTTTAACAGGCAAGTCAATATCATGGAAGGGCGACCTCTGATGGCAAGTGGATGGAAATTCATGGATCGGATTCGTGACAGTAATATTGTGAAATATTATTACATTTTTAACTATTTTCTATTTGAATATATTTTAAAATGTAATTTATTCCTGTCAATCAAAGCTGGATTTTCAGCATCATTACTCCAGTATTCAGTTTCACACGATCCTTCAGAAACCATTAGAATATAATGATTTGCTGCTCAAGTAACATTTAAATATTATTTTCAATGTTGAAAAAAGTTGTGCTGCTTCATATTTTTGTGGAAACTGTGACACATTTCTGTTCTGGATTTTTGAATAAATAAATAGAAAGTTCAAAAGAACAGCATTTATTTTTTGTAACATTAGAAATGTCTTTACTGTCACTTTTGATCAATTTACGACTGCATCTTTGCTCGGTAAAAATATTAAATATTAATTATTTTAAAAAGTATTACGGTATTAATCATACTTTTGAACAGTAGTATTTAGATCGGATATGTAGATTTTTTTATTTTTTTTATTTTTTTTTACTTCATTATGAACTGTCAGGTCAAAAGCATGTGGTTTGTACATCAAATTATCCCAACATTTACCATCATTTCACACTTCTTTTCCATTTGTAGGATTTTGTTCCAAATGTGTTGTGTAACGTGTGTGTGCGTGTGTGCGTGCGTGTGCGTGTGTAAATTAAAAAATCATCAATTGTATTTTAGTTCTTCCTCACAAGCGCTCATATCAACCCAGCACCTTCTAAACAGGAAACATTTCCCAGCAGAAACAAAAGTATCAAAATGGTCAATGAAGGGGGCCTGTCCAAAGTATTTTTGTACCCCATATTGAGCTGTAAATAAATTCAGTGAGCTAAAATTATCCCTTCTCATCTCTCTCTCTCCCAGGGTTCCCGTTTGAGAAGGTGGTGCAGCGCACACTGTACCTGCAAGTGCTAGATTATGACCGTTTTAGCAGGAATGACCCTATAGGAGAGGTGTCCATCCCCCTGAACAAGATCGATCTGGCCCACATGCAGACTTTCTGGAAGGAGCTGAAACCTTGCAGTGACGGCAGTGTGAGTAGATCTGTGTGTTTCTGCTAGTAAGTTCTCCAGGTAGGGTTTTCTGGTATGAGGTGTCCAAAAGATCTCCCAGTGGTTCATTGATTTCAGCGTGAAAGTCCATCGCCGGTGCTGTGCTTAGTGTTTGAAGCTGAAGGGTTTGGACTAAAACTTTGTAGTTCATTGAAATGGTCCTGTGATTTGACAAATTAATTGTTAAAAGTACAAATATTACATGAAGTCACTCAGTTAATATGAGGTGATTAGAACTGCATGTGTGATGATTGTGGAAGGAATGGAAGAATTTTGTTACAGACAATTTTAGTAACAGAAAATATATGGTTCAGATATATATATTATTTGGCTGACATTTTTTTTAAGTTTTTTAAGACAAATTTTAAGGTAGGTTACTGTGAATACTTGGTCAAATGTCACAGTGCACATTTTTCAAATGTAATATTTTTGTGTAAAAATGTCATTTAAGCTTTTGTGTGTCTCATTGTGTCTTATCTGCCATCATTAACTGGTTGTATATAAAATATATATTTAATAATAGTATTTATAAGTTTTATTATATATAAACACACATAATAAACATTAGTACTGCATATAATATAATGTACTCATTTTAATGTAAACAAGAAAATAAAAAAATGAAAAAATAAAAACGTTATTCATATAAAAATAATTTTAAAATGTAAATTAAGCTGTTGTGTGTCTGATTTGAAATTATATGTGTATATAATATACAGTGGGTACGGAAAGTATTCAGACCCCCTTAAATTTTTCACTCTTTGTTATATTGCAGCCATTTGCTAAAATCATTTAAGTTAATTTTTTTTCCTCATTAATGTACACACAGCACCCCATATTGACAGAAAAACACAGAATTGTTGACATCTTTGCAGATTTATTAAAAAAGAAAAACTGAAAAATGCTCAGTATTTAGTAGAAGCACCTTTAAGGGGGTCTGAATACTTTCCGTACCCACTGTACATTTATTAATAACTATAATATTTATTTTTATTGTATATTTTTATCTAACACATACAGTGTGTGTGTGTGTGTGTGTGTGTGTGTGTGTTTATGTGTGCATTTTCTTCTTGACTTCTTTTAACATGTGGAGACCGTAAAGAGATCGTAGCAGAAATAATAAATAAGAGAAATTCAATATAATTATCAAACACTAAATACATTGTTAAAAAACATAATAATGTAATGAGTGGGGGAAACCATAAAAACAGAACCAGAATTTATATTACAATACAATTATATTAATATTAAAATAAAAAAATGCAAGCAAATAAATAATGGAAGTACACCATGTAGTGTACACAACAATGTAAAGCTGAATCAAATATTTCATTTTTTTCTATTAAAATTAAATAATAATAGAAATATACATTTCAACAAAATATCAGCATCAAACATTGAAAATCCTATAAAGGTCAACCACTGACTAGTTGAAAAAGTTGCCAGTTTTTTTCTCATAGAAAAAAGCTGTGACCTCATACGAACCAGCTTGCGTGACAGTGAGGTTTGAACCCAATGAACCGGTCCAGTACTGACCTTACTGTGTTCTTATCTTCAGGGGAGTCGAGGAGACCTGCTCGTGACTCTGTGTTACAATCCCACTGCCAACACCATCACTGTGAGCATCATCAAGGCACGCAATCTCAAAGCCATGGACATCGGGGGAACGTCCGGTATCAGCATACACCCATAAAACCTCACAGATGAATCCGTTTTTAACTATTACATTTAACATCATATGTTATAGTCATATTCCTGAAGCTCATCTGGTAGGATGGCAGTAGCACACCATCATGGGTTCGATACCCACAGGACACACTGTATATGTGTTTACCTTAAATGTACTGTAAGTTATTTCACAAAGCATCTGCTAAATGAATAAATGCAAATGTAATATGGTTATATTCTGAGCGCTTATGGGATTTCTGTGAAAATGTCCTTGTCATGGTGCCATCTGCGCAGTTATCATCTCCAATGTAATTTAGAATTAATTGCAGGAATTCTGTTTCCCTGGACGTGACTCACTGTGGACCGTTCCCTGTTTGTGTGCGTTTCAGACCCATACGTCAAAGTGTGGCTGATGAACAAAGATAAACGAGTGGAGAAGAAGAAGACGGTGGTGATGAAGAGGTGTTTGAACCCTGTCTTTAATGAGTCCTTCCCCTTTGATGTCCCTACTCACGTCCTCAGAGAGACCACCATCATCATCACAGTCATGGATAAGGACAGACTGAGCCGCAATGATGTCATAGGCAAGGTGTGATGTCACAACCTAGATAGAATTATTGGAATATTAGAAATCTTTTGTAACAATATAATCTAGCATTTAAATGTTTGGGGTCAGTGTGTGAGTGTGTGTGTGTGTTTTCTTTTTTGAAAGAAATAAATACTTTTATCTGGCAAGGATATGTTAAATTGGTAAAGAATCATCAAATTATCCTGAAAAAAAAATGATCACAGGTTCCAAAAAATATTATGCCTGTTTTTAACATTGATAATAAATAGGCATATTAGAATGATTTCTGAAGGATCATGTGACACTGAAGACTGGAGTAATGATGCTGAAAATCTGCTTTGCATCACAGGAATAAATTACATTTTGAAATATATTACAATAGAAAATGTTAAATTGTTTTAAATTTCACAATATTACTGTGTTTTTCATCAGATAAATGCAACCTTCGTGAGCATAAGGCACTTCTTTAAATCTTACTGATCCCAAACTTTTGAGATCATGAAGATGAATCAAACTTATTGTTTCAAACTTACCAATAGTATATACATTTACAGTATCCATATCTATATGTTGGTAATGTGTGTGTGTGTGTGTTTTCTTTAATTAATACTTTTATTCAGCAAGGATATGTTAAATTGATAAAGAATCAAAGAATCCTGAAAAAAAGTATCACAGGTTCCAAAAAATATTACGCCTGTTTTTAACATTGATAATAAATCAGCATATTAGTATTTTCTGAAGGATCCATGTGACACTGCAGACTGGAGTAATGATGCTGAAAATTCATTTTTGCATCACAAGAATAAATTATATTTTAAAGTATATTACAATAGAAAAACGTTATTTTAAATTATTGTTTTAAATTTCACAATATTGCTGTTTTTACTGTATTTTTGATCAAATAAATGCAGACTAGAGGCACCACTTTAAAAACATTAAAAATCTTACTGATCCCAAACTTTTGATTTTGTATATATATATATATATTACTCTCGGTCCGTTCACCACACCAGTTGCACCCCCCTAAGGACGGCCATAGTAGTATATATACTAATTCATGGAAATGACTTGAATTTACTAAACGTAGTTTATCTAAAAGGCACAAGTTTAACTACATTGGGGGGAAAAATTGGGTGCAGAAACTATTTTCACTCAGAAATTGCTAGTTAATTTCACAAATGATTACAAAGAAATGAGAAGTAACACTTTGAATTAAATGTTAAATTTTAAAATAGAAAGAGTGAAATAGTATTTTCTTGTAAAACGTACTCCAGTAATCTTTTTTATAGTGTACAAAGTGGTCATTAACTATACAGTGCTTTTTCAGTTTGTAGCTTTATTAGTAACTTCAGTGGAAGCACAGTCCATATTTTTTTCCTGTTCTTGTTTCTTCCACCTTCTCTTTCTTTTCATGTCGTATTTCTAGATCTATCTCTCATGGAAGAGTGGCCCAGCAGAGGTGAAGCACTGGAAAGACATGATGAGTCACCCTCGCACTGCCGTTGCCCAATGGCACGCTCTCAAAGCTTGAAGGACCCGCCCACCAAAAGTAAACAACCCCTTCAGAACCCTGTTGATATGCACAAGTTTAAACGGGTACCAAAAGCCATCCAACTATCTTTCTTTCTCATTCTCTCTCCCTCTTCCTCCCTTCTCAATTTTCTCCTGCAGTTTGTTTATGGAGACCCTTCCTTTATTCACAGCTTTTATTTTTTCCCACCAAAAAGAGGCTTAGCACTGCCAGGAAGACTGGGAGAGAAAGTCTTGCGTAACCGAGAGAGGTAAACAGACTCGTCTTCCTTGAGAAAAAAGTTTGACAACTCAACTGTTCTCTGAACAGCTGGACCGCGCAACAGGGTGACTTCTATCATCGCTGAACTTGAAACGGCTGAAAACAATCTCCCGAACAGACCCTTCTATTGCCATGTTTGTGTCTCGCCTCTCTTGTGGCGTCCCTCTGACCCCACGGAAAGATCCGGAAGGATCGCAACCACAGTGCAATACCTTTTGAAGGAGGGATGAACTTGTATGTTGGACTTTGTCACCTCTTGATGTTTTCTCGGAATTCGCTGGAACTCTTCGTTGTCTGTATGTACTGTGGGTGCTGTTATGTGACAGAAAAAAAGAGGTCTTGTTTATAAAAAAAACACACAGAAAAACATAGAAATTCAAACTCAATTTAATTGACTGGATCAGTTCAAGTGCGTAGGGGAAATACGTTTGAACAATTTTAGTACATTCCAACAAGTGTAGAAAACAAAATAGGGACAAAAAAACGAGAATCGTTAGTGGGTCTACGCAAGTACATGAATGCAAACATTTCTAGTCATGTTAGCTTGATTTAAATGCGTTGTTGGTTAAATGCTTCAGGCCTTGTTTCCACCTGGTATTAATATGCATTTTCAGTGATCCAATCACAAGTGGTCAGTCGAGATGCATTACAGTTTACTCCTGCATTTAAATGCATTTCCCATGATAACTTGTGTTCAGATTTTGTCAAGACCCTTCCTTTTTATTTCGTCACACGCTACATTACTTTCGCAGAAGCGCCGAGAATGGCACACAAATACGATTGAATGAAAGAAGCCGTTACACTACTTACAAGCGAGCGGGAAAGGAAGCGAATGGAAAGGATATGAATGGTAACAGATTTTGATCGTAATCAGTGTGTTTTAGCACAATATAACGTTTGAAGTTTGAATTGATTTCATTCGACCACATGAGTGTCTACGCCAGCGTTATTATAGTTAACAAACTAAAACGGAAATTAAAACTAAAACCATAAAAACATTTTAGTTACTTAAAAAAAAAAAAAAAACTATATATATATATAAAAAACATAAACTACTAAAAACACATAACAAAATTACTAAACTAACTAAAATGAAAACAAAAAATATAAAAGTAAAAACTAACTCAAAATATTAATAAAAACTATAATATTCATGACGAAAGCAGTCCGATTGAATGCGTTTTCAACTACCTCTGGAAGAGATCAAAAATGTTTTATTAAATTATTAATGTTAAATTAAAATATGTATTAAATTGAAAAATTTAATTTTATGTAATTTTATTATATTTATTTTTATTGTAATAATAAAAATTTAAAGATGATTTTGCCACATTATTCCATTCCCCTATTCTATTCCAAGTGTTGCTGAAAGTTAACTTATACTAAAATCCAAAACTTTAAACACATTTTCTGACTGGTTATGATTATGTAATGTAACTGTGATTTATTATTATTATTCATATTAATATTATTTACATTTAATTTATTTACTATATACTGAACCCATAACATCAAAAGGTTTTTAACCGGCCGTGATTGTATCTCATCACTTTGCATTTTTTCTGTCGATGAATGATAAATTTTTCTTCCGAGGTTTTGACAGTATTCTTTTTACAACCTCTAAATCTAAGTGAGTTTTGCTTTTGCAAGTTGAAAACGATGAACATCTAACGTGAAAATGAAATGAATGCACCAGTGAATCGGCGTGCTTTGTTTTGTCATGTCTAGTTGTGTTATTGAAAGTGAACAAGCTCGAAATGTTGTCGACCCCATTTACAACTGTGTTTAGCGTCATCCAATTGTGATTGGGTCAACAAAAATGCATCTTAATACCAAGTGTAAACAGGACCTCAGTAACACAATGCAAGAACGCATAGCCAGAGATGGGCACAGATACATCAAAAAGTATTTTGTTACAAATTACAAATACTTGCTCATCAAATGCATTTAATTAAAATACAAAATACTGGTGTGAAAATTTTATTTAATTAAAATACAAGTAATTTGAAAATACAAAAATACCAACAATCATTTGAAGTGCAAGAGACAGTGCCATTACATTTAGTTATACTGGAGTTAGATACACACATAAGAGAAAGAGAAGTGCTTTTTGATGAAATCCAAGAGCTTTCTGTCCCTCCATATAGGCAGCTACTCAACTTGCACATTCAAAGCCCAGAACGATAGGAAAGATATCATTAAAGGGGTCATACGATGCGATTTCAATTTTTCCTTTCTCTTTGGAGTGTTACAAGCTGTTCGTGAAAAGATAAGATCCCTAAAGTTGCAAAGACTAAAGTCTCAAACCCAAAGAGATATTCTTTATGAAAGTTAAGACTCGTCCACGCCCCCCTAAAATGCCTCGTTTAACCTGTTGAGCAGTACGGTCCCACATATGGGATTTAGAACGTTCGGTGACGTCACATTAATTCACGTGCTGTAAATCCGACTTGACAGGACTCTCTGAACTGCAGCGCGAACAAACATGGCTGCGCCCATCTCACGTTACAGTTAACGATCAAGATCATTTAGAAAGTTTTTTAAACTACAAAACACACTCATTTACACATATTTGTGAATCGGCACGTGACTCCAGTGGTTTGTTAAGCAAACTTTATTTATGAAAATATTGATCTGCATTGTGCGTTCATGAGAGCGCCCCCACATGTCTATGTCACGATGTGGCGAGATTTGCATAACGCCGCTCAAATGTGCACGCAAAGAAAGAAGGCGTAACTTATTGTTGCTGGCTGCCACCGCTGCCGCCATGTTGTGAAGACGCTGTGTGTTTGTTGCAAAAGCGAAACTACTTTGTTTGGTCTTCCAAAAGAGGACACGACTAGAAATCAGTGGTTAAGTTGTATTTACAACACTGATCCAGAACAGTTTAACCCAAATATTCAGATGTGTGCAGCACATTTTATGGAGGACCGTTTCCTGATCCTGGGAGAGTAGACTACAATGCCAGCTGTTCTGACGACTCACAGACTGTAAGTACGTTTTCATATTTAAAGAATTTGCCACTGATGATTCAAACGCGAGTTTTGAGCAGTGTAGAGTAGCACTTGTTGTTTGTCATTTCTCTGATCACAAATGCAGACAGGGTTTTATGTTTACACGGCGCGATGCAACGC